CTTGTAGTGCGGCATGGGGGGGTGGCCCCTTGTAGTGTGGCAGTTTGGGGTGGTCCCTATAATGCGGCTGTGGGGGCGGCCCCCCTGTAGTGGGTGGGGGGTGGCCGGCAGTGGGTGGGCCCCCTGTAGTGTGGTAGTGGGGTGGGGGGGTGGCGGCAGTGGGTGGGCCCCTGTAGTGGGGTGGGGGGGTGGCGGCAGTGGGCGGCCCCCTGCAGTGTGGTAGTGGGGGGGGGGGGTGGCGGCAGTGGGTGGGCCCCTGTAGTGGGGGGGGGGGGGCGGCGGCAGTGGGCGGCCCCCTGTAGTGTGGTATTGGGGGGGGCGATGGCAGTGGGCGGCCCCCCGTAGTGTGGTATTGGGGGGGGCGACGGCAGTGGGGGCGGCCCCCCGTAGTGTGTAGTGGGGGGGGGCGGCGGCGGCAGTGGGCGGCCCCCCGTAGTGTGGTAGTGGGGGGGGGGGGGGGGGCGACAGCAGTGGGCGGCCCCCCGTAGTGTGGTAGTGGCGGGGGGGGGGGGCGGCGGCAGTGGGCGGCCCCCGGTAGTGTGGTAGTGGGGGGGGGCGGCGGCAGTGGGCGGCCCCCCGTAGTGTGGTAGTGGGGGGCGGCGGCGGCAGTGGGTGGCCCCCTGTAGTGTGGTAGTGGGGGGGGGGGTGGGCAGCAGTTGGGTGGGCCCCTGGTAGTGGGGGGTAGGGGGGGCGGCGGCAGTGGGCGGCCCCCCCCTAGTGCGGTATTGGGGGGGGGCGACGGCAGTGGGCGGCCCCCCGTTAGTGTGGTAGTGGGGGGGGGGCGGCGGCGGCAGTGGGCGGGCCCCTGTAGTGTGGTAGTGGGGGGGTGGCGGCAGTGGGCGGACCCCGTAGTGTGGTAGAGTGGGGGGGCGGGGCAGTGGGCGGTCTCTGTACCGGCTGGGTGTCACCTGCATGCTGCCATTTGTATTTCAGGCCAGGAGAACGCCACCCTGGAGTCGGAGGGGGGAGTGCAGATCACACCCTTCAACCTGAATGAAGAGATGGAGGAGGGGCACTTCGACTCGGAGGGCAATTATTTCCTGAAGAAGGAGGCCCAGATCCGAGACCACTGGCTGGACAACATTGATTGGGTAGGTTACCTTCCCCTCAGCCAATCACAGTGATCACACGGGTTTGTTTTCACTTCTCCTCACAGAGGGAAAATAGTACTTCAGTGTAAAAAGAGCCGCCCGGCATGTATCCTCCTGTACAATAATTGGGGGGTGGTAAATGTGTGGTAAATGTCCATCATGTGACAACACAAATATCAGTTTTGTGTGGAGCCACAAAATACTCCGTACAAGGCCCAGCGCCTTTATATGCCCTCCCCCAGCCTATCATCCTTCCTCCATTCATTGGTCCACCCTGCTCTGTCTACATTACCCCTCCCCGCCTCCATTCATTGGTCCACCCTGCTCTGTCTACATTACCCCTCCCCCGCCTCCATTCATTGGTCCACCCTGCTCTGTCTACATTACCCCTCCCCCCCTCCTCTGTTCCAGGTTCGGATTAAGGAGCGTGTGGTGCCCCCCTCCTGGCTCTGGTGAGGATGGGGATTCAGACAATGATGAGGGGCGGGCTCCCCTGGAGATGAAGACCTTATTGGAGGAGATCTTGAAGTTGTTGTTGCCGGGGGAGACGGTGGCGAAGGGCATCCAGCGATTAGGGGGCGGCAAGAAGAAACCCCCGAGAGTCCGACAAGGCAGAGGAGGCCGAAGAGGCAAATCCCAGACCCGGGACATGGAAGAGCCAACAGAAGAGGAGCGGATGGAGGGGGAGAAGGATCCCCAACTGGAGGGGGCGGAGAAGGAGGCGGAGCCTCTGGATCAGCTCATCTCTCTGGCTGACCAGATGGTGGCGCTTGGAGTCTATGAAGTCTATCAGGACACCTATGAGAAGCTGGCCTATCGACTACGAGGCCTGACGGCTCCGCCCTCCCTGGACATGTTCGCCGACGAGGTGGAGGAGGGCAAAGCTGGAGAAGAAGGAAGGTAATGTCCAGCTAGGGGGCAGTGTGGGGGGATGGGGGAAGGGCAGGCCCAGCTCCCCCATCTATAAATCTCTGCTGTCCCCCATCATCCTCTCTTCCCTCTCCAGAGCCCCCCGGATATGGAGGAGGTTCTATGGGAGTACAGATGGGAGAACAAGGACGGGCGCCGAGCTCTATGGACCCTTCACCATGCGCACAGATGCAGGTAAGACGCCCCTCCCCCCCACACCTGGGATGGGGCCGAGATTCCGCCATCCCCCCCTCCCTCCTTCCCCTCCTGCCATCCCCTCCCTCCTTCCCCTCCCTCCCTCCTTCCCCTCCCTCCTATCCCCTTCCCCTCCCTCCTTCGTCAACCTCCCGCCATCCCCTCCCTCCCTCCTTCCCCTCCCTCCCATCCATCCCCTCCCTCCCCCCTCCCTCCTTCCCCTCCCCTTCCTCCCCCTCCCGCCATCCCCCTCCCCCCCCCTCCCTCCATCCCCTCCCTCCCCCCTCCCTCCCCCCTTCCCTCCTTCCCCTCCCTCCTTCCCCTCCCCTCCCTCCATCCCCTCCCTCCTCCCCCTCCCGCCATCCCCTCCCTCCCCCCTCCCTCCTCCCCCTCCCTCCATCCCCTCCCTCCTTCCCCTCCCCCATCCCGCCTCTCACTGTGTTCTCCTCCTCCTCCCCAGGAATGGGTGGATCAGGGATACTTTGCGGATGGAGTGTACTGCCGGCGGGTCAGCGGTGGGCAGTTCTACAACTCTCATCGGATAGACTTCGATCTGTATGTGTGAGGAATGGACGGCCGCGGCATTGGTGCCCCTGGAAGACCTGGACTGTTGTGGGAGCTCCGTGCCCCCTAATCTTCCCAGAAGCCTTTGCTGGACTCCCGTCCAGAGACTCCATGTGTGCTATGGTGGGGAGGCGCCCTGTGCGTGTGCGTGTGCGTGTGTGTGCGTGTGTCAGACACGATGTTTGTAATAAAACTTCATTGAACTTTTATATCCTCTCCTCTTATCTGTGATTGGTGGGCTGTGTGCGGAGGCCTGCCTTACCCTCCGCTGGATGTTCACCAAATCTCACGGCTGCAAGGCCAAAGAAATCCATCATTTATTCATGATACGCGGTACCCCCCAGTGCCCCTCCCCCAGAGGGACCCCAGTCATGCCACCAGCTGTGACTACCCTACCGGGATATGGACCGGGACCCCCACCTACTACTGGGGCATTGCCTCCTGTGTCCAGCCTGGAGCCCGTCACTGCCATCTCCATTGTAGGACCCTCAAGTCACCCCCAACTGTGACTACCCTACCGGGATATGGACCGGGACCCTCACCTACTACTGGGGGCATTGCCTCCTGTGTCCAGCCTGGAGCCTGTCACTGCCATCTCCATTGTAGGACCCTCAGGCCACCCCCAACTGTGACTACCCTACCGGGATATGGACCGGGACCCCCACCTACTACTGGGGGCATTGCCTCCTGTCTCCAGCCTGGAGCCTGTCACTGCCATCTCCATTGTAGGACCCTCAGGCCACCCCCAACTGTGACTACCCGACCGGGACCCTCACCTACTACTGGGGGCATTGCCTCCTGTCTCCAGCCTGGAGCCTGTCACTGCCATCTCCATTGTAGGACCCTCAGGCCACCCCCAACTGTGACTACCCTACCGGGATATGGACCGGGACCCTCACCTACTACTGGGGGCATTGCCTCCTGTGTCCAGCCTGGAGCCTGTCACTGCCATCTCCATTGTAGGACCCTCAAGTCACCCCCAGCTGTGACTACCCTACCGGTATATGGACCAGGACCCCCACCTACTACTGGGGGCATTGCCTCCTGTGTCCAGCCTGGAGCCTGTCACTGCCATCTCCATTGTAGGACCCTCAGGCCACCCCCAGCTGTGACTACCCTACCGGGATATGGACCGGGACCCCCACCTACTACTGTCTCCCGCCTGGGTCACTGGCCAATTGCCTCCTGTCCAGCCTGGAGCCTGTCACTGCCATCTCCATTGTAGGACCCTCAGGCCACCCCCAGCTGTGACTACCCTACCGGGATATGGACCGGGACCCCCACCTACTACTGAGGGCATTGCCTCCTGTCCAGCCTGGAGCCTGTCACTGCCATCTCCATTGTTGGACCCTCAGGCCACCCCCAGCTGTGACTACCCTACCGGGATATGGACCGGGACCCTCACCTACTACTGAGGGCATTGCCTCCTGTCCAGCCTGGAGCCTGTCACTGCCATCTCCATTGTTGGACCCTCAGGCCACCCCCAGCTGTGACTACCCTACCGGGATATGGACCGGGGGGACCCTCACCTACTACTGAGGGCATTGCCTCCTGTCCAGCCTGGAGCCTGTCACTGCCATCTCCATTGTTGGACCCTCAGGCCACCCCCAGCTGTGACTACCCTACCGGGATATGGACCGGGACCCTCACCTACTACTGAGGGCATTGCCTCCTGTCCAGCCTGGAGCCTGTCGCTGCCATCTCCATTGTAGGACCCTCAGGCCATCCCAATCGCTCCCTGATTTCCCAGAAGTCTGCACTAAGATACAAGTCAGATTTTGGGCATCCCCTGCAACACAAATGTCATTTTTGGTGAGATACTCCCAAAGAGAAATTGCATCTAAAGGGATGCAGACCCTTCCACTTTCCTCATTAGAACCCAGCAGCTGATCGATAGTTCTAAAGTCCTTCCCAGTCACCATCGCTCCTCACATGGACACAGAGAAACAAACAGAAAAGATTGGAATCTACAAATCCCTGCAATGTGCATAGAACACCCAGGGGGGGAGGGGGAGGGCAATCTGATGAACAAAGGTGGAGCTACTCTTTAAACACAAAAAAAAAGCTTTAGAATCACTTTTAGCCCTTCATAGAAAGTCCACGGCCTGTGTCCCTTCAGGGCCCCCATCAGACGGGGCGTTAACCCTTTCTCCTTTGCAGGAGTGTTGGAAGATCCTCCTTCCAAGGTCACCGCCCCTTTTTTTCTGGCCCTCTTCAGTCCTCTGTTGTTACTGGTCTAGTTTCTGAGCCGGTCTTCCACCATGTGGTCCTTGGTGGGCTGGGATACATTATTTTCCCCCATAATTGGGGGCTTTGCTCATGTGAGACCCACCATCCTCAGGCAACTGGCTCCTCAGAACACAGGATTTGCTGGTCTGGACTTCCATGTAGTTATTGAGCCTTCAACACCAGGGATTTGGGAGTCCTCCCGGCGATAGAAAAGGCCGTCTGGTCTCTACTAGAAGATGCCGAGCGCCTCAACCTCGCACTGCTTCCCTCAAGAAAATGCCTTGAAAACCCTTTCTTCTGAACTGAGCAGAAAGGTTCCCACATAGGTACAGCACAGGAATATCATCAATCTCTGCGGGGCCCTTGTGCCTCCCTGGATTGCCAGCAGGCCGAGCACACTCATTTCTTGATAACTTTGTGGGACCTGTCCACCGGGGGATGGGTCCTCCTATCTTGCTGCATCTCCAACCTCATGAGGGTTCCTCGGATGCCTTCCCATGTTCTCTGACGATATGCTGGGTTTGGGGGGGTCAGGAGCCAAGGTCAGGGTTGGGCAAGGGGATTCATCATCAGAATCCTCCTGGATTGTCCCTGTGGCGCCCTGTTTCTGCTAGGAAGGGTACATTTGCTCCATCTGTGGCTCTGTCTGGTGATTCTTGGCTAGGACTTGCCGTCAATCCTGCCTAACCTTTTGGAAGTGCCTCTTGTGCCCCAACCCTACCAGTGACCATGACTGTGTGGGAATGACTCCCTGTGTTCTGTGGGGGACTCGGGATCCACCTCTCACTTCTAGTAGGCTGTGGTACTTTTGGTGATATGGGTTTTCCCCGGTAAGTCTCGCCTAGGAAGCAGGATTGGTTGTCGGCCCACACAACCTCTATTCATGGAGTTTTCTACCCTTTGATCTCGGAGAATCTGAAGTACAAGGTCCTTGGGCATACTAGCTGGTCTTTCTCACCTGCACCTAATGGGCCCCAAGAACCTTTTATGATGTGGTCAGAAATGGGGACAACTCCTAGAAATAACTTTCTAGGGATTGTCCCCAATTTTTTGACCACATGTTGGTCTTCGCTTCCCTTTGATAATTGTTTTCAGTGGGTTTTGGTCAATCACCTCATTGTTCATTGAGGCTGGGTGTCCTTTCCATGTAGTCATTCTGCTGGTGGTGACCTTTTGAGGTGGTCAGTATCGGGCTGATCTCTGTGGTCACCCTGTTGGCCCTATGTGGTGTGGGCCTTGGTCTATCGGGTGGCTCCTGGGCAGTAGACAGTCCCCAGTTCTCTTATGGGGCCCATAGGCAGTTTGCTGTGTTGCCAACCCATCAGTTGGATTGTTTATGAACGTCCTGAAGGTGGGACTTCTGTGTCCCTCAATGGATGAGAAAGAAAATACTTCTCTCTGGAAAATCCTTTTCTTGGAGTCCATTGAGGGACACGGGTCCCGCTGTCCGTACTGCTTCCTATAACCTGAGGCATGCTGGGAAGAGGAGGGGCTATGCTGGGAAGAGGAGGGGCTATCCTGAGCTGGCCTACACCATTTTGTCTGACTAATCCCCTTGTGGGTGACAGTAAAACCCGGATGTATTGGAATTCTTGTGTCCCTCAATGGACTCCGAGAAATACTAATGCCGCCTCCCCCTTATTTCCTGACACCTCCAAAGACTCCGCACAGTCCCACTTCTCCCTGTCCCGGATGCCGGGTGTCATTCTCGGTATCTGTCCCTGTTCTGTATGTATGTATGGACTCTGCACACACTTCTCCTGTCGGATGCCCCACTTCTCCGGTATCTGTCCCGGATGTTATGGACTCTGCACAGTCCCACTTCGGGTGTCATTCTCGGTATCTGTCCCCCATTCTGTATGTATGGACTCTGCACAGTCCCACTTCTCCTGTCCCGGATGCCGGGTGTCATTCTCGGTATCTGTCCCCATTCTGTATGTATGGACTCTGCACAGTCCCACTTCTCCTGTCCCGGATGCCGGGGTGTCATTCTCGGTATCTGTCCCCATTCTGTATGTATGGATATTTTTATTTGTATAAACAAACAAATTACAAGGTAACAAAACTGTAACCATCATCATAAAACACACAAACCAACAATGTAACAACTGCCTACATCTTCACGACAGAAAGTCAACAAATTAAACTAATGAAAGTTCTGCATAGAATTTGATGCTGTAAATAAATTCCTCCCATTTTATATTCCTTTCGGCTCTAAACTCTTTTTATAAATCAGAATCTGAGTCACTCTGCCGACTACCAGTTTCGATATCGGATTCCACAAATACGGGAGCCGGGGGCGGGCGCTTCTTAGTGGGCGGGTCCTCCCCTGAACTAGCTGCAGATTCCCTTTCTACTTCTTCCTCCATTTGGTCCCTAGATCACAGGAGTTCGGCATCTGACTCTGATAGGACATCATACTGGTTGCTGACTGCCATACTACCTTCTGGCGCCCTTCTCACCTTCTTAGCGGATTTCTGCGCACTCGGGTCCATTCACTTTCAGGTTTACGGGTGGCCTTGTCCTTCCTATTCCTTCTCTTCTGCCTGGGAATGTTCTCCACAGAGGCAGGAACTGAAATGGATGGGATGGCCACAGATGGCCGCTGCTCCTCAGCCTGCTGAACACTGCCCTCCTGCCCGAGGCTGGCCCCTTGGACTTCTGGGTTTACCTCCCCCTCAGTTGATATGACCCCATTCATTAAGGCTTCCTCCTCCAGGTGTTCTGCTGCCACCAGAAATTCCTCATCCACTGATTCCTCATCCCTATTGTGGAAAGCCACCGGGCAATCTCTGTGCAAATGGCCGAGCCTACCACATAGATTGCACTTGATGTTCTCACAGGTAGAACTGACATGGCCGACCTCCCCACACAGATTACACTTCATGATAGAGCAGACACTCGCCACATGAGACCCGACCTACCGCATTTGAAACATAGCCTGGGCTGACCTGCATAGAAGCAAACTCCCCTCTCCCGCCCAATGAAAAAGGAGTTTGGAAGGTGATGGGTGACATTGTTACTCTGCCTCAGCTTGACAAGAACCCTCCAACCTCCAGTCCAGATCCCATCACTGTCCCTAGTTTTGGTCAGATCAGAGACCATCTCACAATGCCTTCTGAGCCAGACTACAATATCCTTACTAACAATATCCTGGGGGGGCACAGACTACAATATCCTGGGGGGGCACAGACTACAATATACCTGGGGGGGCACAGACTCATTCCAGAAAATGATGTTCACGTTTGCTGTGTCAGGTTTGGAGA